TCTAGTAGCGAGCAGTCAGATGTTATGGCTGGTATGCCTCCATTGACTCAGTGTTTTGTGCATCCTGATGTATCACCCTTATTTACAGCTAGACCTAGTGCTACACCAGATGATGAGATGTCTGCTCTATCTCCTAGCTAGAAGGATAGACTTGGTAGAGTCATGATTGAGCCAGATGGATCATCGTAAGTTTGTTTTGTTATCTATTTGTTAGTTTATTTTATTTATTTCTTATACTTTAATATATTATTCATGAACTAACATATTTATTATGTGTTTTGCAGGTGGCATCTTGCAAAGGATGCTGCCCGGGCTTTAAAAGATTGTGTTAGAAGACTTTATACACAGGCTTATCACTCTTGGAGCGAGATTCCAAACAGAATACGCCAAGCGATGTTTAATGAATTTAAGGTATATATTTTTTAGTTAAGTTTAGTATACTTTACTTTTTTTACTATCGATCTAATTAACATTATTCAATTTTTTTCAGACTATGTGTACTTGGGAGCCAAGGTACAATTTGGTCATTACGACCACATTTGAGAAGAGGGCATCCGCCAGACTGTCTAGCTGGCCCAAGAAAGTTTAGGATAGTGCTGAACGTCCGGATTGGATGCTGCCTCATGTTTTTGATGAATTGGGTCTGTATTGGAACATAGACAAGTTTAATGCAATATCAGAACAAGCCAAAAAGGCTAGAGGCAGTCTTAAGGGTGACTCGTTGCACATCGAAGGTGCAAAGACCGTTGGAACAATTACAAGAGAGATGGTAAGTTCTAATTCAAATTTTTAAATAAATAATTAGTTGATTCATATATATCGTTATGAATTTCAGTTTTTATTTATAGGAAAAAGAATTGGGATGCACTCCCATTGAACCGGAGGTTTTCAAGAAGACTCATGTCAGAAAGAAAGAAAATGAGTCGGATCCAGATGTGTAGGTGGAGGAAAGGGTCGAACGAACTTTTGTAAGTTATTTAATTGATATGAATAATATATATTAATAGTGAATATATTTATGATATGTATATATATTGATGTCATTTTTTATATTTAATATGCAGAATGAGTTTCATCAGTATGTCACTGAGAATCTAGATGTTTGGTCGAAATAATACCTGAACTGTCCACCCAGATTTGGAAAGAAAAAGTGGTAGGAGGGACACACAAGGGTAGATGTTATGGTCTAGGCTCTCGAAACGATGTAAGACGACTTCAGTCAAGCTTAGAAGGTATTGGATCGTCACGTCAAGCCGAGGCACTTGACGGTGTTCAGATTGCTGCTATGTCGGCTCAAATAGCACAACTTACATCGGCATTGGCAGAGTCAAAGCAGAGAAGACTAGCTGAACAACGAAGTATGAGCGATACCATTCAACAAATCAAAGAACAAGTGATGAACCTCACTCATCGACCTACTACTTCGGCTCTCGAGGACACCGACGACGACAGTGATGATGAGGATGATTATGTAGATCCCACTCCCTAGTTTAGATCTCTGGACATTTATGAAATTTTGAAACGAATTTTGAAAGACTTTATAAGTATTTAAATTGTGATTTAGATACTTTTGAATATTATTTTAAGTTTGTTGTTTTATGTTTTGTGTAGATTGTTTATAATTGTGTGTGATTGATTGAGCTGAATAGTGTAGAATTGAATTGAATTGAATTTGCAGGTGGGCAACAGAAACTGTCAGTTTCTACTGTCAAAAAAATTGCAGAAAAAGCGACGGACAGCGTGGTTTGGTCCGTCGCTTTTCTGGATTTTCCAAAAAAATTATTTCCAGAAAAGGGACGAACAACGTCCATTTGTCCGTCGCTTTTCTGGGATTTTCAAAAATAAAATTTCCACAAAAGCGTCGGACTGCGTCGCCTTTTGGAAATTAAAAAAAATGAAAATTAAAATAGAGCGACGGAGTCCATCGCTTTTGTTAAAAAAAATAGTCAAAAAGAGACGTAGTCCATCGCTTTTTGAAAAGCGTCGAGCTAAAAAGCGACGGAAGTGACTGCGTCGCTTTTCCATCGATTTTGACCAAAAAAGCGACGCAGTCCGTCTTTTTTGGCAGTTTTTTAGTAGTGAACCTAGGTCCGCCCCTGACTGACAGTAACATTTTATGTTTGTTTACTCTGTCAAATTTTTGTCTTTTTATCATTGAATTTTTTTGAATAAAATATAACCTAAAACATTACTGAGAAATACATTTATACTAGTTTTGTAAACTTTAAAAAAAAAACATATTATTTTGGTGAATTGATATTAATAATGACTTATTTTGATCGAAAATCTCTAGAAAAATGCAATAGTCAAGTACTCAAGTATTATGAGTAGTAAACAGTTAGGGCGTGTTTTCTATGAAGGAATATTTTCTAATTTTCGTTCAGGTCGGGTCTTGAGTTGGGGTCGGATTGGGATCTCGGGATCATATTGTTAGAACCAAAATAATTAAGTGTCATGTGGAAGCTAGCAAAACAAACCTCGAAAGATTATGAGTAAAAAGACAAACGAGAAAGATATCAAAAGACACAATGATTTAACATGATTTGGTCAACTGAACTACATCCACAAAGGAGATTAGCAATTCACTATATAAAAGAGAGAACAAATATAGAGAAGAATAACCTCACACAATTTACTCGAAATACAAAGAGATTTACACACGAGTTAACATAACACTTGTATCTAACTGTTTCCCCCTATACAACTCTCTAGCCCCTAGGACTACATTGTGAATGCTGGTACGTTAAAAGGAACAAACATTTATTTATGGAATCCTAAAAAAATTTCCTACAAAAAAAGGATTAGTCAAATATGGAGACTGTATGCTTTCCTTTTAGGAAAATAGAAACTCATTTATGGTAAGAAACTTGCAAATACCCAACATATATTTCAGTTGGATGCAGCCTACGTGAATATCGAAAATCATTTGAATTGTCCGATCGAAATATTGACTTGAGTCATTTGTGTCCCCCTAAAGTTGTCCACAAATTCAGTTAAACACCTTAACTAGGGTTTGTACTTATTGGACACCTAAATTGTTCAAAACATGTGTCTATTAAGCACAAAATGCTGATGTGGCAAAATAAGTGCATCCTACTGCATAGCAGCGCGTGAATAGGTCCCAAATTTTTTAAAATATTTTTTTTGGTAAAATAAACTTGTACCTTTTTTTTCTTCTAATGACACTTGACATGCATAAATTAAAATAATTAAAAATATTTTTTTTTCAAAATAATATGTTAATACCCAAAAAGAATGCAACCCCACCCCACCCACGTAAGCTATATTAATGGTGTTCTTCTTCGACCCATTAAGCATTTTTATAACTCTGTTTGTTTTGGTTCTTCCTTTTTATTTTTCAATCTTTCTAAAAAAAATTGAATCTCCTAATCAAATTTGCAAGAAGAACAAAAAAATCGGACATCGGAGTTATAAAAGTGACCTCCGTCCATCTCTATTTCCGGTTACTTCGATCAACAAACATCATCATCCATTTATTTAGGACCCGTTTGACCATAGATTTTCCAAGTAAAATTTGGAAAAAAATTTGACAAATAGTGTTTGTCCATACAATATACCATTATTTGGCAAATAACTCAAATTCCCAAATACTAGGAATAAACTAGTATTTGGGTCAAATCTCATTATTTGGGAGCTTTAAACAATTCAAATTCTACGTCAAACTTTTATCTTTTACAAAAACACCCTCTATAGTAGTTGTTTCCGTTGCATTACATAGTTTTTTATGTGAACACCAAAGCAGCGATGAAATATTCAGTGAATATGAAAGTGATGATATGGTTGTTGATGAAAATGACGAATAATCGGTTCAGGGTAATAAAGTCATGTGCTTTGTCTACTTCACGATGTATGAAATGATGCTTGTTGCACTCACTCCGAACTACCACATTGTTCTAGTGTCATAGACGCTACTTGTTATTTGTTGCAACGAAGATCCAATTGACTTGTTGCGGAAGTCATGAATCTTGTTACGTCGACGTTTCTATCTTGCTATGTAATACAAACTTATAATTTATTGATAGTTTTTAAAACTTATGGGTATATATCAAATTTATTAAAAATATGAAATATATTTTCCAAATATTATGTTTGATACACCATTATGTTGGATGTTAAAATGAAATGAAATTTAGTAGTCGTAATTCAATGAAGTGTAATTAGTAGAAGCTCAAAAGTCGTCATAATGCTCACTAATATAATGAAAGTATTCTAGCAAGCACTTTAACATGACTATTATTTATAGCGCCAAAATGTTCCATCATCACAAAACAGAGCAACTCTATTTTCTTTATTTTTTAGTATTAGTGTTGTCCAGTGGCGGAGCCACCTTATCATTAAGGGTTCATTCGAATCCCCTTTCGCGGAAAATTATATTATATTTACATGGTTAAAATAATTTTTTAGGTATATATAGTAAATGTCGAACCTCCTTCGACTACTTCGTGTGTCTATTTTTTCAGATTTTGAACCCCTTATCAAAAATTCTGGCTCCGTCACTAGTGTTGTCCGATTCTCCAAAAATCAATTAGACGCACAGAATCATATCATGGTCTTCAGCATGTTTCTACCCGACCGAGTCCAAGTATGATTAGGAGAAGAAGTTTCCATGAAAGAAGTTCAAGGCAGTGGACGAAGCGTAGGTATGGTACAAGACTTAAAGCTAATTAAAAGTTTGGTTCATATATATCATTTTTGTTTGAGAAAAGACTCATTCATGTCATTATTTGTTAATGGAAAATAATTTCAATTTTGCAAAATCATTTTCTATACGTAGTCAATTATGATTCAATCACGTCATTAATTAAATGAGAAAGACTTAAATATGACATAGATGAGTCTTTTCTCAAAATATGATGACATATTTAATATTTTTTCCTTTTTACTATTTGAAAAAGGTTTAAAAGAGAACAATATAGTACAATTTTTTTTTTAAAAAGTTAGTCTTTCTTTATCATAAATAATTACACTATTGACAGATGCCTTATTTCGTTTTCCATATAGAGGCGGCCCTGAATTTACGGTATAAGTTCAATTACATTTCTTCTTCTAGACAAGTGAGTAACACAAACACCTAGCTAGCAGCAAGTGATCAAATATAATGTCTTACATTCCGCCACACAAGAGGCAAACAAAGGGCTCGCCATCGCTTGAACCAACTCCAGCACCGGAGTCTCTCATCAGATCTGCTTTCAACAAGAGAAAGGATAACAAATCTCGCACTCGGAGTATCGGTTACACTGATCATACTATCTTAAAATGGTTCTCTGTTGGCTTAGCTGATGAATTGAGATTTTCATCTCTTGTCAGTTTCCAACCTCTTTCACTAGAATCCTTTGAGACAAAAGCAGGCCTACAGCCTCTCTCTTTGGTTCCAACTCATCAAGGTACTACTTTTTATTCAACAAGAGTAGAGTAGTTAAATACTGTAAAAAGAATAGGAGTTAATATATGGTTTAATTTAACCTGATCATCCTGTTTTTTATGACAAATTTGGTTGAGTCATTTTATATGATAAAAATATTAAATTGAATAACTTTATTGATACAAAACAAGTTGCTATATAATTTCTGACATTTAAAGATATTTACTCAATTTGGTTCTTATAATGTTTTTTGTCAAATGTTTCTAGTTTTGTACCTGCATAGTGTTTTCAACTTCTTCAACGTGACCTACAACTAATTTTAATATATTAGTTTTATATTTTTATGTTTAGTAAAATTATCATACACTAATGTGCATTAGCCGATGTTGGCGGTGCACCCGTCATCTTCAAATCATGGGTTCGACTCTACTTTAGTGATGCTCATTAAGCTATATATCTATACTTTTCCAGGTTGCAGTGAAGGAATAAAGAATGAGCTTATAGAAACACCATGGATTTTGATTGCTGCAAATGTGAAGAAGGATTTGCTTTTGTCATTTCAACATATGAAGCGTGAGATGGAGGAAGCTGATATGGCACAAGTAAAGCCGTCTATAGTTGCTCGTTTTGGAAAAGTTCTCTTTTATGGGTCAGTCGATCTTCTTCATTTAGTTCACATGTTATGCTTTTTTCGTCATGTTAATTAGAAATTTTAACACTTCTCTGTTCTGCGAAACATCACTTCGTATCTTTTATAGCATGTATCAAACACCTCATATATCATATGTATCATGCTGCTTACTTTGTTGTGTTTGAAGCATTATTTTGTTAGGTTATTCATATACAAATGCGTGTTTCAAAATACTTGTCATGTTCTTTGTGATGCAGGACTTCTTCAATTGGTAAAGATAGCCTAAAACTAAACTCATTGACTGAAACTGCTTTGAGAAAAATGAAAAGATCTTTCCATACGGATGTTCCTCCTTCATATATGGACTATGTAGAAAATCGAGTAGTGGAGAATCTCGGACTAGAATATGTGCAAGGGAAAGAGCTGTACTATGTTAAGGTATATGCTACTTTCAAGCTTCTAAAAAATGTCTTCGTCCTACTGTATTCTTTCTTTATCCGTGTGTTTTGTAGCTTTCCGATAACTTGAGGACAGAATCAACTGTTTCCTGCAAATGTACTGTGGCAAAAGATCATAATAAGATTCAGCTCTATAAGGTTAGTACTCTAAACCTTTTATGCCTTCAATTTCGCGTTACTGTCATTAACATATTTATACCTGTCTCCTTATTTTTAAGATTGAGTTGAACCGAGTACGCCACATGGTTGCAGACATGAGCATTCTTGGAAAGAGCTCAGACCTCAGATTGTTTGTATATACCAAGAAAATCAAGATGGCTTTATATGTAAGTTATTTACTCCATTCAAATACAGAGATGTTGGTTATAGGCTCAAGATGTTGATGAATATTATATATCAAAAGCTCTTTTTGTTCCTTTATATATAAGGATTAAACTCTTGATTTCAAGCTTCTCACAACTGTCGTATGTAATTCTCTTATTTGAGTGTTTGCAGTAGTAGTACGTCTTTCTATGAGTGTTGTGCTTTAGATAATTCTTCACATTTTTCAGGATGAGGAGATTAATGAAATTAAGGATCTTATTGGTTCTGCCATTTTGGACTCAGAATTACCGGGTGGTTTAAGATGGCCTTTAAACAAGCGCCATTCTTCAGGGGGTCGATATGTTGTTAATGCTATTGGTCACACAACTGCAAAATCATATATGAATTCATCAATTAGGTTTAAGTTTCGACATGCAAATCGATCTAAATTCAAATCTTCAACTGGTGAGGTTACACATGAGATTTTCCTGAAATTGCCTGGAATTATATCAGAGTTACATGTAGGTTCTCTTCTCCTGATGACAAGCAATTACGTTTCTCATTTTATTTTATGTTTTCCAATTTTGGATGTCTCTGCATGATACATCAACGTTGGTTGGTGTTGGTCGAAATCATAGCATAGTATTCTTAGTTTAAGCATCAACTTGACTTGATTTGATTTTCATTCTCTTATCAAAAATACAGAAGCAAACAATGGATGAAGATCTGGTGTTTGAAATGCTGAAAAACAACTTGAAGTTAATTTGGGATCTTTGTCTGTTAGATGGCTCGAACTCACAGTCTTAGAGTTGGAAGTGAGGGGTGCTTACTGCTTACCATCCAAGCAGCTCCCTCTTGTCTGTAATTAGCTTTGTTGTTAAGCTGCAATGAATAGAACATCTTACTTGAGCTGTCACATTTCGTTTTACATATGATGTTCGGCACTAATAACTCATTGAACAGTTAACAACCCAAGTTGCTTAGACTCTTCAAAAATATGGCTTCATTCGTGTCTGGTCCATCAGAAATGCACTACTTTTGAAGGATTTGACACACACTTAATGACATTTTTGAAGAGTCCGAGAAACATAGATAGCAACTATATATATATGATTCTAGCTTTTACTTAATTACGTGGCTCAATTGCAATTTAAGCAAAATCTAGATACACCATCAATATTTTTATTCTTATTTGGTTTTCCTATGGGTGTTAATGAGTCCATAAATACAAGGTAGATATATTGAAAGATGGTTCGAAGTCCTGCATCAAGATATAGAAGGTTGGAATTTTCTAAACTTAACCTCAAATTCTGAAAACACCAATGTTAGCCTGAAATCTTTTTCTAGGAAAAGAAAAACTTGTAAAATGAAAATATATATTATTACTCACATGTTGCACCTCCTGGAGGTGAATTGCCAATCTATATATATAAAGATTTGGCTCCTCTTTCATTTTCCTTTTAAGTTCTTGCTTGGATTGAACCCCTATTATATATGTCTCATGGGAAATTCATTCTCTTCAATAGAGGATTCTAAAGCCAGTCTTGAATTCTACTTCAAAGTGTTGGGCATATAGTAAGTCTTATACCTCATCTCAAATGTTTGTTATGCCTCATAAAAAAAATTAAATCATATTAGATACTTTGCATATATTAGTTTACTTTTACTTTACTTTACTACCTATACAGAAAGGAGAGTTTTCTGTTGCTTGTGTATCTTGGGTTAGGGAGTATTTTAGGGGTTTCTTTTAGTGTGAGCATTATTGTGTCTGTACATTTTTGCTTTTAAAAATGTACTTCTATTTTGATTGCCTTAAAAATCCTAAATTTAACCAACTACTTAAAGGGTATTTTGGTATTTACTGTTTGTATGTGTTGATGTCTTTGGTATATATGATAGATATGGTGATTAAAGGATAGTACAACCTAATTTAACTCATTAAAAGAGCCTCAAAGTTGTTAACTATTTCATTTGAGAAAAGACCCAAAATAGTCCCTTGTCTCTGAGTTAAGACTCAAAGTCATCCTTGAATTTTCACATGGAACACTAATAGTCTCACATGTTTGCAAATTTTTGCCTATTTTTTAATATTGATTTTATCCACAATTTATATATGAAATGTTTAATCGTCTTTTTATATATTTAATATAAATAGTAACTCCATTTTGGGAGAAAGTAAGAATAAGAACATCATGTTTTGTTTAGTAGAAATATTATTGTAGCTAAAATCGAGAGATTAATTATGTCGTACAATTTTTTCTTTTCTTGCGATGTCATATGTCAAGATGTTCTTCTCACCTTCTCTACATGAAATTATTATTTCTACTAGATATATAAAAAGATGATTGAGCATTCCATACATAAAATTGTGGAAAAATCAACGTTAAAAATAGGCAAAAATTCAAGGGACGATCAAAAGTGCACCAATACTGCTAACATGAGAGACTATTAGTGCCTTATGTGAAAACTTTGAATCTTAACATAAAGATAAGTGACTATTTCGTGTCTCAATTTTCATGTAGCTTTTTGGGACCCACTCAAACTATATAGTACGCCTATGTTACATACTTGAAGAAGATGTTCATTTACAATTTTTTTCATTTTATTATTTTATTTATTTATTTTAACAAAATCAAAACAAGAGTATTACTTTTATTTAATGTTATTTTTTAATCATTAAATAACTTTATAAAGTAATTGTTAGAATAGAAATAAGCATATACAATCCTAATAAAAATAGGAATAAGAATAGGAATCCTAGTTGGAAAAAAGGATTCCAATGTAGTGTCTATAAATAGGGTCTCAATGTAATAATATAGATACACAATTCAATAATATATTTTCTCCTATATTTCTCACATGGTATCAGAGCAGGGCCCGGCTTATCCAATGTTTGGGCCCCCAAAAATCAAATTGCCCACACACCAGATGCTAAGCACTAGGCATGAGATGGGGTGTTAAGGAATAACAAAAAGTCCCACATTGGTGGTTAATTAGATGGGTGGACTCCTTATAGGGCTTGGGCAATCTTCCTCCCTTTGATCTAGCTTTTGGGGTGTGAGTTAGGCCAAAGATCTAATTTAACATGGTATCAGAGCAAGTAAGCAAACGTCTCTACAAGTAGCCTTGGTTACTCAGCCTAATGTTCATGTTGTGGGTAATTCTTTTGCTTGTGTTTCACAGTCTAGTACTCTTGGATCATGGGTTATGGACTCAGGCGCTTCTGATCATATTTCTGGTAACAAATCACTTATGTTTGATATTGTTTATTCACAATCTCTTCCTACTATTACTTTAGCCAATGGGATCCAAACAAAACCAAAAGGGGTTGAAAAAGCCAAACCGCTCTCTTCTGTCCCTCTAGACTCTGTTCTTTATGTCCCTGGTTCTCTTTTCAATCTAGCATCTGTTAGTCGTTTGACGTGTGCCTTACATTGTGGCATAACTTTTTTTTATGACTCTTTTCTCATGCAGGACCGCAGTACGAGACATATGATTGGCACAAGACATGAATCATAAGGCCTTTGCTATCTTACCTCTTCAAATTCCTTCACAGCATGCTCCGTTATAGATCCTCCAGCCCTAATTCACAAACGTTTGGGACATCCGAGTCTATCTAAACTATAGAAGATGGTGCCTAGTTTGTCTAGTTTATCCACATTAGATTGTAAGTCGTGTCAACTTGGGAAACACATCCGTGCTACATTTTCCCGTAGTACTGAGGGTCGTTCAGAGTCTATTTTTTCATTAGTCCATTATGATATTTGGGGTCCTAGTAGAGTCAGTTCACCCTTAGGTTTTCGTTATTTTGTTAGTTTCATTGATGATTATTCAAGATGCACTTGAGTTTTCTTAATGAAAGATCATTCTGAGTATTTTCTATATTCAAAAGTTTACTTGCTGAAATACAAAATCAGTTCAATGTTTCTATTCGTACTTTTTGTAGTGATAATGCCTTAGAATACTTATCCTCTCAGTTTCAGGAATTTATGACTCACCAAGGAATTATTCACCAAACATCTTGTCAGTATACCCCTCAACAAAATGGTGTAGCTGAAAGGAAGAATATGCATCTCATTGAGACTGTTTGTACTCTCCTCATTGAATCCCATTTTCCGCTGCATTTTTGGGGCGATGCAGTCCTTGCATCTTGTTATTTAATTTAGACAATCCCCTCATCTTCTATTCAAAATTAGGTTCCACATTCCATATTATTTCCTCACTTACATCTATACTCTATCCCCCCCTCGTGTCTTTGGGAGTACATGTTTTGTTCATAACTTAACCCCATGTAAAGATAAATTAGCCCCTCGTGCTCTCAAATGTGTCTTTCTTGGTTACTCTCGAGTTCAAAAAGGGTACCATTTCTATTCACCTGATCTTCGTAGATACCTTATGTCCGCCGATGTCACATTCTCTGAGTCTCAACCTTATTATACATCTTCTGATCATTTTGATGTCTCTGAGGTCTTACCCATACCTCAGGTCTTGCCTGTATCGACGTTTGAGGAATCTATAGTTACTTCTACATCTCCTGTGGTAGTGCCACCACTTCTGACTTATCATCGTCGTCGGCGCCCAACACTAGTCCCAGATGATTCATATCATGCGCCGGACCTTGCTCCTACTGCGGACTTGCCTTCTCCTAGTTAATCGATTGCACTTTAAAAAGGTATACGATCCACTAGAAATGTTAACCCACATTATACTTTCTTGAGTTATCATCGTCTCTCATCACCCCATTATGCCTTTGTATCATCTTTGTCCTCTATTTCCATTCCTAAGACTACAGCTGAGGCACTTTCTCATGGATGTAGGCAGGCTATGATTAATGAGATGTCTGCTTTACATACGAATGGTACTTTGGAGCTTATTTCCCTTCCAACAGGTAAATCTATTGTTGATTGTCGTTGGGTTTATGCAGTCAAAATTGGTCCAGACGGTCAGGTTGATCGGCTTAAGGCTCGTCTTGTTGCCAAAGGGTATACTTAGATATTTGGACTCAATTATAGTGATACTTTCGCTCCCGTAGCTAAAATAACATATGTTCATCTTTTTCTGTCCATGGTTGCGGTTCGTCATTGACCTCTTCATCATTTGGACATTAAAAATGCTTTTCTTCATGGTGATCTTGCGGAAGAAGTCTATATGGAGTAACCACCTGGTTTTGTTGCTCAGGGAGAGTCTAGTAACCTTGTATGTCGATTGCGTAAGTCACTCTATGGTCTAAAATAGTCTCCTCGAGCCTGGTTTGGAAAGTTTAGCAAAGTAATTCAGGAGTTCGGCATGACTCGTAGTGGAGCTGAATCACTCTATGTTTTATCGACATTCTGTACTAAATCAGTGTATTTATTTGGTTGTTTATGTTGATCGTATTGTTATCACTGCAATGATCAAGATGGTATCACTAATTTGAAGTAACATCTCTTTAAGCATTTTCAGACTAACAACCCTGATAGACTAAAGTATTTTCTAGGTATTTAGGCTCCTCAGTCTAGATCAGGTATTGTTATTTCTCAACGCAAGTATGCCTTAGACATTCTTGAGGAGACATGAATGATGGGCTATAGGCCCATTGACACTCCTATGGATCCAAATGTTAAACTCCTTCCAGGACAGGGGGAGCCACTTAGTAATCCTAAAAGGTATCAATGGCTGGTTGGAAAGTTGAACTATCTCACAATGACTAGACCTGACATCTCTTTTCCTGTGAGTGTTGTAAGTCAGTTTATGAATTCCCTTTGTGATAGTCATTAGGAAGCAATTGTTTGTATTCTGCGATATATAAAGTCAGCTCCCGATAAAGGACTACTCTTTGAGGATCAAGGCCATGAGCATATCACTGGATATACAGACGTTGATTGGGCAGGATCACCCTCTGATAGACGTTCGACACCCGAATATTTTGTTTTAGTAGGAGGTAATTTGGTGTCGTGGAAGAGTAAGAAACAGAGTGTGGTTGCTCGATCTAGTGCAGAATCAGAATATCGAGCAAT